AAAAAAAAACCAAACCAACACAAACCCCACATAGAAGAAAAACAACCTCCTAAAAAAAAAAAAAAAAAAAAAAAAAAAAAAAAAAAAAAAAAAAAAAAAAAAAAAAAAAAAAAAAAGAAATAAAAACAAGATAATAAGCCTCCATTTTGAGAATCATGAATGGAGGAGAGATGATGTGCCAAAGGTATCCCAGGGATGACATTCTCACTGAGGAGGACACTGCCAGAAGCTCTGTGTGACACAGGGTGACAGCAAGGTTTGCCTATCAAGGAGCTTCCCCCAGCCAGTGGCATTTCTTGAGGGTGACAAATGAACAACCTTTCCCTCCCTTGACTATTAAAATTTGCAGACTGAGAACTGTCCAGAGTCAGTATTTTCTGAGAGATAAGCAGACAAAAAACTTCCTCTTCCTAATGCCCAGATACTGATGGAGAAAGAAACCAGAACTGGACAGTCCCAACCTCACCATTTACAAGAGATTTTGTCCTGGAAGGGGTCGTAAAGCATTGGAGCAGGATGGAGTCACCATCCCTGGACGTGGTTTAATGGTGAACACACTGGTGGTGCTGGGCTGACTGCTGGACTTGATCTTGAAGGTCTTTTCCAACCTCAGTGGTCATATGATTTCAAGGTTTTATTTAATTATTAATTAGTTTTCAGCAAAATCTCTTCACTTGCAGAGAGCAACATGGAGAGGCAGAGACCAAAGAGTTGTGAGCATCAGCCACCCCACAAGCACCAGAATATGGTGTTTTGCCATATGGATGGCATAGTTTCTGCCCAGCTGGCAGAATGTGAGAACCCATTCTGGGTCCTTGCTGGCACCTGCACACCCAAACCCCCACCTCCCCATCTGTGGATTTGGCCCAAATGACTTTCATGAAGGCATAATTACACCCTTTTTATTAAATGCCTAAGAAATACAACATAAAACAGGAATGAATGACACATAAACATTTCCTCTTTCCAGCCACCACAATCCCCCAGCTTGCTGCAGAAAGGATGAGACCAG